AAACTAAAAGTCAGATGCCGACTTTTAGTTTCATTTTCGGGCCGCGTACAGCAGAGGACACCGCGGGCTCGCAGGGACAAGGTGAGTGTCACTTTTCTCTGCAACCACGAGTCTGGCTCGGGGTTACCGCTCCTAGCATTGAAAATTCACCCCGAGCCAGACTCGGGATTACCGCCAGGTCACTCAGTGGGATGGGGAACCGTTCCACATCATGAACCCCGTCCTATGATTGATAATATGTGTTGGTTGTGGCCAAGTGATATGGTACTCAGGGTATTTATGCAATGTGGGGGATTTGTAGATATCCTAGTACTTGTGGTTCCTGTGTGTGGACAAGGAGCAGGTCTAGCCCGGTCTTTGGGATGGGAGAGGGAAGCCTCTGTGGCTGGAACTGGTGCTGTGTCCTTGGGTAGCAGTCTCAGCACCACTCTCTCTTACTGTCTCAGCAGGAAGCTGTGTCCCTGAAAGAGCCACTCGCTCGACGTTCCACAACAATAGAATGCCGAGTGAGTGGCTCACCTGTGTCCGCGGCCAGTGGGAGGAGTCGGGCGTGACGTCATGGACGGGAAGGCGCGCCACGGAGCTCCGGCCCGAGTAGGTCTGTGACAGGAAAGCTTTCATCTGATAATGTCCAAAGATCAAAGGGGAACACTTCTGTGATGTTAAGACTTCTCAGTTCCTTGATGTTTTCAAAACCAGAGCCCACTTTAGTCGCTAGACAGAATATTTTATAAGCCCCTTTTGGAGGGTGTCCCGGAGCCGGCCCCTAGGGCAGGGCTGGGGAGGGAAAGCATGGAGAAGGATAAACCTTTATTTTTCACTATCCCCACCCAATTCCAAATTATGAAATGTAGCTTATTTTGTAATTCAGGTTTTATGACTTTCGTGTGAATGTGGGGTCACCACCTCTCTCAGACCTGCTTGTTTATATTAACTTGTCCACTGGTAATAGATGAGTGCTTTCAGTGGGAGGAGTCGGGCGTGACGTCATGGACGGGAAGGCGCGCCACGGAGCTCCGGCCCGAGTAGGTCTGTGACAGGAAAGCTTTCATCTGATAATGTCCAAAGATCAAAGGGGAACACTTCTGTGATGTTAAGACTTCTCAGTTCCTTGATGTTTTCAAAACCAGAGCCCACTTTAGTCGCTAGACAGAATATTTTATAAGCCCCTTTTGGAGGGTGTCCCGGAGCCGGCCCCTAGGGCAGGGCTGGGGAGGGAAAGCATGGAGAAGGATAAACCTTTATTTTTCACTATCCCCACCCAATTCCAAATTATGAAATGTAGCTTATTTTGTAATTCAGGTTTTATGACTTTCGTGTGAATGTGGGGTCACCACCTCTCTCAGACCTGCTTGTTTATATTAACTTGTCCACTGGTAATAGATGAGTGCTTGGTGCCATGCCTTTAATTAGGGACAGCCATAAAAGGCTTAAGGTGCCCATACTGTGCCCATCGCACGATAATCGCACGATAATCGCGGGAAATCCCGCGATCGTACGATAATCGCAAAGTGTATGGAAGACGTGCAACCGTTTTTACTGTACGGTCGCACATCTTTTGTCTAGGGAGCACGCTAGAAAACTAGCCGAAAATCGTACGTTTTTTGGCTGGTTTGAACGGTGCTCGGGAGACAAATGCCGAACGGGCCGGTGGTGAAACGGATTTGTAGTTTCAGCACAACTGGAGGGCCAGAGTTTGGCTACCCCTGGTATATATCATGTCTGCAGTCTTCCCTGCTACTTTATCGTTTCTGTCATGTTAATATGTGGATTGAGCAGTCTATTCATCTAGGATATATTATATTTGATATATAATAAGTTATGTCTAGAAAAATAAGAATAGAAATATGCATTTACTACATTTTATATCTTTATTATTTCTAGATGCAGCACGAGCATCATCTACATCAGGTTCCCGAGTATTTCAGCCATGGCTGTTGGGTCTGACGGCGGTAGTGGTGTTCCTCTTCATTGTATTTTCCTTGATGATAATAAATAGATTGTTCTGCAAGAAAAAGAAGTATGTACAATGCTCTCTGAAAGAGCAATGTTATCCCTTACATGAAACATGCCCTTTCCAAGGAGCACATTTAGCTTGTTTTCCTTCAGCAACTGGTTTTACTCAGAATACTGAGACAACATAACAATGAGCCTGTGGTAACATGGATAAGAAACTAGAAAGCCCTCCTCTAAAGCTTTGCAAACATGTCTCCGCCCACTGTTCTTAAATAAGGAATTAATCGCTTGTTTCTACACGTTGTTCGGTGTTTAAAGTGATAACATGACCTGTTATAAGAAGGCAATGCTTTATATGCCTAAGTGACTCTACTTAGGTTTTTGGTCCCTTTAGACCAGGGGTAGGCAACCTCAGCATATAAATGTAGCCATTGCTCTCCCCATAAAACGAATGGTTACATTTATATGGTCATTCTCTCCACAGGTCTCTTTAAATGGTAACATTGTATCTCACTACTAACATGTATTCATTTCCAAAGATCCTTAGCTCCAGCTACTGGCCATATTGTGGTATTTTCCCCATTCACTCTATTCCAGGGGTAGGCAACCTTGGTACTCCAGCTGTTCCTAGGATAGGCAACCTTGGCACTCCAGCTGTGGTGAAACTTCAAATACCATCATGCCTCTGTGAGCCATGCCTAAAGGTGCCCATACACCTTACAGTTATCGGCCGATTTCCGTCTGCGATCGTGGTTTCGTACGATAATCGGCCAGTTGATGGGAAGTGCACAACCGCAATTACTGTGCAACTGGCCGATTTTCGTCAAGCAGACTAGAGAATTTTCGTCAAGTTGGACGAAAATCGACGGATTAGTGGCATTTTCGTACAACAAAAATCGCATGATGAAAACTGCACATGTGCAAGCGAAAATTTGGTCTTTCGATCGATGAAAATTGACCAGTTAGTGGTGCTGACAAATGATAATCACAAACTACATTTGTCTGTGCATGATGGGCTGTTTGAACGAAAATTGAACTAGGCTGCGATGTCGGGACAAAAAAAGTTGTACAATGGTTGTAAAGTGTATGGCCACCTTAAGTTTTGCAATGCACCATGGCACCTGTAGTTCCACAACAGCTGGAGTGCAGAGACTTTGCCCATCATATATTGTTATTCTGTCTTGATATTCCCAAAGCTTTATTCCATACATCAAAGTAATTTAAGATTGTACTGATGAGCAAAAGTCAGACTGTCTACTCCAGTGGTGGCGAACCTTAGCACTCCAGCTGTTTTGGAACTACAAGTCCCATGAGGCATTGCAAGGCTCTGACAGCAACAGACATAACTCCCAGAGGCAGATGCATGTTGGGATTTGTAGTTTTTGCACAGCTGGGGTGCCAAGGTTCGCCACCGCTGGTCTACTCCATCAACACTAGTGGTAAACAGGAGGATAAAATTCTCTCAATTGATCTGATATTCTCAGTCCTCCCACTATGTATTAAACTAGCTAATCTATGTTCCAGTCCAGAGTGATCATGGATTCAAAGTGGGACACTCTTTATAGAGTCCCAGGAAGTGCAATTATGGGGCTAGGGTCCTCAGCCCATGTGATATTATTAAGTAGGTCCCAAAACAATTTTTTAACAGGGGTAGGGATTCTCACCCCCATACTTAATTGAACTTCCTGTGACAAAATAAAATAGAGATCCACAAACATTACTAAATATTTGGTGGCCATGTGTAGTTGTCCAAACACAATGGGAAAATAAACTTTTATTGATTTCACTAGAACCCTTGTGACAAACCTAGAAAGACTCAAATTAATTTCGCTATCCATTAATTCCCAGCCACTTAGTGGCCAGGACCAGTTACTAGAGCTCACCTGTGCCATCACTTGAACAAGCAAACTCAAAGCAAAATGAGACATTTGAAAAACCTTAATATGCTTGGGATCCTTGGTGTACTTATACCTCTCAACACACAGTACTCTGTTTAAGGGACTATGTCCCTAAACTGAAAGTCCCAATAAAAGATATCGCTATAAAAAAGAAAGAAATACTCACTTTCCTAGTGCCTGCACCACTATTAATGCGGACCCGGCTCTAGAAAGCAAGGTCCACTCATTACATCAGGCGTCCTTCCCCATTTACAATCACCATATGCTATTAGTATAAAAACACGCATGTGGGGAAAAAAGTTAGGAAATATACTTACCTTGGCTTCTGCACAGCAATGGGTGGTGTCACTATCCTTCCAGCGAGATTCCTGGGAATGCAGAATATCCCAAATCACATGAGATGATGATGACCAGTCTAGGAGCATCATCTTGTTAGATTTGGGATACCCTACCAAACAGGACTGTAGCACCATGTGTGCTGGCTTGTGGGATCAACCAATCAAGCACCCCAACTCCCATACACACCGCTGAAGTCGCACTGCTTAGAATAATACTTAAACTTTATTGGATAGAAAAAACACCATAAATAAGAAACACATAAGAGGACAAAATCATGAACCTAACCCCCAAAAAAGGTTTAAATACCCCACAAATGCTATAAGAAGAAAACTAACATATTCACCACATCTAAGGATTGGTAAGCGGCAGTATACCGTGTTTCCCCGAAAGTAAGACCTAGCACTATTTTTCAAGATTCCTGTAATATAAGACCTACCCCGAAAATAAGACCTAGTTTGGTGGTAGCATGTACTTTACTGCGCTGTCCACTGTCTGATGTTATCTTCACTGCTGCACCGCTGGTATCGCTGTCCCTGATGGAAAAGGAAGCCGGCGCTGTAGAAAGCAAGCAGAAATCGGCGGCGGAGGGAGCAGAGCCGCATTAGCCGCTACTTCGTCTATAGCGCCGGTTACTGTGACAGGCGGAGTGATACCAGATGCACTCCGCCTGTGAAAGAACGGAATCTGCTTTACTGATCAGTAGGAAAAGAAATAGAGCAACAGTAATATTCTCATTCTTACCATACCATTAACGTCAGTAAATAAATCAGTTGGCATTCTGACATTCTGAAGTGAAAAAAAACAATAAGACATCCCCCGAAAATAAGACCTAGTGTGTTTTTTGGGGGCAAAAAAAATATAAGACAGTGTCTTATTTTCGGGGAAACACGGTATTACATTTTTGTTATCTTGGGTTTAGATGCACTTTAACTTTATTATAAAGCAACACTAACAATATTCAGCTAAGACTTCCCCTAAGGAAAATAACATTACTTTATAGTTCTTTCTTCTTGTACTACGGTGCATTTGACTTCAAGAGAACCTGTCACCACCCGTGTCATTTCCTACTACTTGATTACGCTAATGTGGAAGAAACTGTAATGCAATTGTATGTTATACTGATTGTGCATCATGTGCTATTTTATTGTCTTATTGTAATTTGGAAAATTAATAAAATACTCAAGAGTTAAGAGAACCTGTCACTATTGGGTTCATGCAAGAATCGAAATATTCACTACTAATTTCAAATCATTCTGCAGTCTTGATGATGAAAGGTTCATATTTGACTCCTCATTTAGCTGTAACTGATTTTATATTTTCTAGGGATGAGGATGAGGATGAAAAGATAGAAAGGTATGGTATGAGTATCACTACATATTTATTTTACTGTAATAAGTACAATGATCAAATAATTGTTAAATAATAATGACAAATCTTGCAGCCTTCTATATAATAATTTCACACCTCTAGAATTTAAAATCACCCATTTAGGGTCAGTAAAAAAGAAATCTGGGGAAACGCGACGATCTGACAGTGGTCACCAGCTTATCACTAGACTGAATGAATCACTGTGGGGACAGAGAAAGTAATAATACATGTATTCTAGCACGGTGGTTAAGAGTTAGCATGTTTTCATTGCTGCTTCAGGCCCTGTTGGAGATTAACTGCATACCAAAAAAGAAGTCATCCCCTGGATTTCGGGGAGTTTTATGATATGGGGTTACATCAGTTGGTCACGGCGAGGCTCATCAATGTTATGTGTCCAAAAAATGAGGTCAGCTGCCTACCTGAATATACTGAATGACCAGGTATTGTGGAACCTGGCCTTGGGGCGGGGCTACTTAAATTTTTTTTTTTATCGCAACTTCCCGACAAGGTCACCGCTGCCGCCCCTCTGCGCTCTTCCGCCCCGAAGCCGGGCCTCGGTGGCCTTGTGGGAAATCCAGGCCTGATTGGGGCAAGATAGCTTTAAAAAAAAAATGAACTGAGCCTTTCTCAATCTATCCAAAAGTAAACAAAGAGTTTTGTCTGGAGTTTCACTTTAAAGGAGAACTATGAGGCGAGTGCTTTTCACTCACCTCATAGTTCTAGCCGACCTGTGACAATGAGACTGTCACAGGTCGGCTCAGTAGATCGGGAGGTGAGCGAACACATACCGGCGTTTGCTCACTTCTCGATCCTGTCACGGCTCTCTACCGTGACAGGGGAGGGGCTGGATTCCCCCCTCCCTGCTCCGATCCCCCAGCGCTGACTGGCGGAACGGGCGGGGGAGGGGGCGGGTACAGCTGGCTCTGCCTCTAGATAGGCAGAGCCAGCTGTCACTCACGCAGCTGGGTGGATCCAGACATAGTTGTCGGGATCCGCTTCAGCTGCGGCGTCTCAGTATACCGCGAGCTGTGGCTCGCGGTATACTGAGCTTAGGGTGACGGGAGGACGCTAGTTTGTGTCCTCCCGTTACCCTAAGGAGAACTATGGGGAAAAGCCCTAACCCCATAGTTCTCCTTTAAGGCAAACCTATAGCCTGAGTTAAAGCAGACCTCCAGGCAAAACAAGCTCTTTGCTTATAAATATTATGTGACATCCGTGCATTTTGTCTGTTACCTTTGAACTTTTTTTGCTTTTTATAATTTTGTATGGCTGTATTTTCTGATTGTTAATGGAATTCAATGACCTCAATTACCTTTTTCTCTTGGAATGATGCTCTCTGCTTCCCACTCGAGTGCTCTTTCCTTACATAGATTTTTAATGGCCACACTCCTCACCACAAGTGTATCACCCAGACTTGTAATGCTGAGGAGGTGAAGGGTGTGTCTGACCAACTCTGTTAGATTACAGAGTACACTAGGCAACTGTGGTCAAAAGGTGGCAATACACAGATTGAATTTGATCTGTTTCATGCTGAATTGGTTGAAATTTGGTCCATGGGTGGCCCTGCTGGCACCACCTAACTTAACAAAAATCAATTTTTCAATCTGCTTTTGTGGATGTAATAATTGTGGAAAATTGCTACAGCTACAGTCACTGTTTGGGTATTCTGTCAGCTATGGGTACTGGCTGCTAGAATACAATAGCCATCAAGGCAGTAGGGGGGCTGCTAGCGAGAGAAATGGGTGCTGCGGTAGTCAGGGGGTGGCAGGCGTAACAATCATAAGCAGAAACAGAGACACCGGCACTCCAAATTGGCAAGCAAACGTCTATTTATTGACATGCAGCATAGCATTGCCTGATGAAGGGGATCCTTTGTGACCCCGAAACGTTCGTTGCTATTTTTTGCTATGCTGCACGTCAATAAATAGCCGCTTTGCCTAATGACGTCAATGAAAGACAGGCAGGCTGCACAGCGGGATCTCTAGGAGCTACATTTCAGGAAAGCGGAACCCATTACAAGCCACAGGACAGGGAGCAGCTGCACATAGTTCATTCATTCTCCATTAATCGCTTGAAATATATATACAGTGTATACACTTTTAGATTTCTTCTAGCCACCAATCTTTCAATGCTCAGTCGTTTTGTGCAACAATAAGTGACAATGATATCTTCTCGTTTAAATGTCAGCTTGTCTGCATGTGAGTTTGGGGTTGTATTATGACCCATGTTCCTTACTCCTTCCATGTACCCATAATAGAACCACCATGAACGTTTATGATAATGATGGACTTGATGAAGAATCAGCCACTGAGAAGCAAATAGAGATGGAAGATACCAAGAAGGCCAAGTGGGAGAATGAAAACAATGAACAGAAAATCACTCCTATGTAATGCCACAGCCAAGTCCAATGAATGAAAGCGTCTTACGTGTTACTGTGTCATGAAGGATGGTCCTGCAGAAGCAGAAGGCCTCTATTGTGTCTGCTCGGGCTGTGCTTGACATTAGGACTGCGCTTAGATCCTGCGCCTGCATTCAGCGCCTCAATCCCACCATATTGCTTTTTCCCATAATGCAGTCTACCATAAATTAAAACAAAAAGTTGTTTATTTTTGAATCGCTCAAAACAGATTAAGTTGATATAAGGTTAATCCAATAAATATTGTAATGGGCAGATCTGACTTTACCACATTTTATGTGCATGTATTTTATTTCAAAGTCTATTGTAAAGGCTGAACATTTTTTTTAAAGAACTTTGGGCAAACATTTTCTTAGCGCTTGCAGAGCTCGTTTTCATCTCAGAGCGAAAATGTAAAAAAGATATTCACCTGATCCTCGGAGATGGCTTGTTCTTACACTGCTCCTTCCAGCCTCCCTCCTCTTCACTCCAGCAGTCTAAGGTCCCGTGTGTCATCACATTCTATATATGTATAGGACATGAGGACACCAAGGGACATACAATTGCTGGAGCGGAGAAGATGGCAGGCCGGAGGGAGTGCTCTAACAGCTAGACGGCTGTGAGGTTCGGGTGAGTATAATATTGTTATTGATGCACCTCGATCAAAAACGAGCACTTAACCCTTGCAGTGTGGGGGTAGCCCTGCTGCAAGGGCTAAAAACATTTTTGGCCAGAGGTCTTCCCTAAGTCTTGGACAGAGTACGGAAGGTTGGACTTTTTATTTTTGTCTGTGATTTCCTTACATGTCTCTAGGACAGGAAATAAAGGAAAATCCCCAATAAGATATAACCAAACAGATTTTAACCCTTCATTACTCTATCAAAAAATAAAACAAAATTGGGGCTATACATACCCTTTACTCTAAACTATTAGAATTATATTATGCCCCTGGCTTCATTCAGACATACAGTATGTGCATATATATATTGTAAATTATATAAAGGATAGCCAAATACCTGTATACAGTTAGGGATCTATTCATAAAAATTTGCATAGCTTATTCAGCCACTGAAAGTGCAGGTACATTCGTTCTGTGTGAGTTACCCAAGTGCTGTGAAGGTGGGCCAAAAATGATAGTGTTCTTAGTGTAAATTATCTTCTGGTTGAATGTTCTTGAATATTCATAAAAAATAGAGTGAATGGGAACGATACGGCCTATCGGCCACCACACGCGGTTGAGCATTATAGGAAATAAATACATGTTAGCAAGGAGATACAATGTTACAATTCAAGAGACTTGGGAATTGTAACATGAGCATATAAAGGGAATGAGCATATAAAGGGAATGAGCATATAAATTGCTGTCCCTGGAAAATGAATGGATACATTTATATGCTCATTTCATCTAGTGACCGTAATGTGGTATTTTCCCCATTCACCCTAATCCAGGGTCTAGGCAACCTTGGCCGTCTAGGGGTAGGCAACTTCGGCCCTCTAGCTGTTCCAACCTTGACCAACAATAGTAGCCAAAGGTGGAGTTCATCAAAACTGGAGCAGACAGAATCTGCAGCAGTTACCCACTGCAACCAATCAGGTCCTCTCACCTGCAATCTAACCACAGCTCCATGTGCATTTTCATGTGAACGCAGGCAGACCTCTGTGGCCATTGTCAGCCTGTCATTGTGCAAAACCACCTGTGATGCCTGCCGCAAGAATTCGCAGCCAGACACCTAGTGTGAATGAGGCCTTCTTGGTATCATTCACACTCTCCATTTAGGCCTCATTCACACGACGATTTGTACATAGATGATTGTTGCTGGATGCATCTACCTTGTGCCCAGGGATAGTGATCTATTCCAAACCATACGTATTCATATCATGTACGATTACATGCGGAGTGCCGCTGACAGATGCGGCCAGTGTCACCCGGTATTAACTTGAACGGGTACAGCCGCCGCATCCAAACAGTACGTTTGGCATTCTTGCCGCAAGAATCCATACAGAATTCCAAATGAATGAAAGTGAATGAAGCTTTAAATGCGGTCAGTTTAGCTGCATTTAAACAACTCCGGGCAAACGAAAACAACGTACTCTTGCAGTGGGGCTCCCCCTGCACGGGTTAAGTGCTGATTTTATTTAGGGGACACTATTAAGGTGCCCACACACCTTACGATAATCGTGGGAAATCCCGTGATCGTACGATTATCGTAAGGTGTGTGGGAGCCGTGCGACCTCTGCTACTATAAGGTCGCACAAATTTTATCTTAGGAACATGTTCGAAAAGCAGCCGAACATCGTGCGATGTTCGGCTGGTTTGTGGCATGTTCGCAAGATAAAAGCCGCACTGGCCAATGTGCACAAGCGCACACTGCCCGTTCAGCATTGCGGTCATCGGAAGCCTGCCCCTCAGCAGGGCGGGCTTGCGATCATCGCAAGTACGATCTGCCTGTCCAAGATGGGCAGATCGTACGTTTTTTAAATTACCTTACAACCGTCGCAAGACAAAGGTCTTGTGATGGTTGTAAGGTGTGTGCCCAGCTTTAGAGATATCAAAGCCTGTTGCAATGCACTTGGTATTAAATGTCAACATGCATCACAAGGCATTTGAAGGCATGTCATGATGCATACAGGTCACAGGTGCATCATGATGAGGAGGTGACGTGCATCATGATGTATGTTGACGCACACGTTGTGCATGTGTTGGGTTGTGCTTTCATTGATTTCAATAGATAGGGCATCAAGAAAACGCACAAAGGTGTGAATGCAGATTTAGTAATTTAGGGTCAATGCACTAATTCCTGCATAATGGCCATAATCTCTTGCTGCTGCGTCATTTCAAGGGCACATTCACCTTTTGGACCATGTTTCATATTGCACACATTTATTTTTTTCTTGAACAGCGGACTTTGCCTTCATATAATAGTTTGTCATCCACTTCAGAGGCAGCACATGGACTTCAACCTACATAGTGTCTCCACAGTGTTCCAGCAGCCTTGTATCTTCTCTCATGACTCCCTCTAGTGGTGATAAGCAGCACTGCACTCATTTAAAATCAGCATGTCACTCCTGCCACGACTCCCCGCCCACCTAGGCGGGTCTCTCCTGCACAGTCCCGCCTTATTCCTGTGGTGGGTGTGGCGAATAAGACGCCGGTATATCGGAACACGATTGGCGGAGCCTGCGCTGATAGTTTTACCGTTCCCCATTGGTTGTGTAGGGCATTGTAGGCGGTGCCGGTCGTGGCCGTGTCACGCTGTACTCGAAGGCAGTGACTGAGCAGCTGTGTCCCGTCTTCTCCTCCGCTGTCATGAACGGGGACAGCTTTACCGCGGGAGAGCGGATCGTCTCCCCGGCCTACATCCGCCAGGGTCGGGAAGCCAGGCGCAGCCATGAGCAGCTCATCAGACTTTTGCTGGAGAAGGTAAGGGCTGGCTTGCTGTCACGTGACGAGCAAGGCATCACGGGACGTGTAGTTCTGACGCTGGCACTGTGCTCTGTAGCAATGTGGCCCGCAGCTTGTTTGTGGAATGGCTGCTAGTTGCTGGGTGGGGGGCAGCAGGACAAAGACCCTGGTGAAGGAGTGTAGTATGGGTGTAATGACAGCCATGTGAGAGACAACACTAGCAGATGGAGATGGTGTATACAAACCCTAAGGGAGAAAGACTGCCACTCATGCCATGCTGCACGTGACAGCTGTGCTGTCAGAGCAAATCTTAAATCTAATCAATAAAATGTAATATGTTAATGTCATTTCAATGTGTTTTTTTTTTTTTTTTATTGTTTTTTTTTAGTCTTTTTAAATCTGCAGCTTTCCTTAAAAGAATTCCTGGTGATCCTGCCATGAAGGAGCTTCCTGTTACGGTGTGACAACTGTCTCCCAGTTGTACTCCTGTGTTGTCACCCTGTCAAAGGCTCCCCTGGAGAAGCCTACAAGGCACCATGCTGACACACAGTGCTCAGGCAAGGTCCACTGTGGTCACTATTAGTAAACTGTCCAGATCAGGGAGGTCAAACTGACACTGGAGTCAGTGCATGCAGACAGGAAGGAGCTGAAACTGGCTGCAGGAGATCAGCAGCACATCAGATGTAAAAAAGATAAAAACTGGTGTTTTCAAGCATGCCTTTTATTTTTGTACAGTTTGCCTTTTAGACAGAATTTGCCTTGGCCTGTCTGTTGAAAAGCTGTTTCCCAGTCAGTGTACTGAAGCCTTCAAGTGGTCCAAATATCTGTT